AATGTCACACTAGACATTGCTACCATAACTCAAGTCAACTTTTAAAAGTAATGCATAGATAACATTGCTTAAAATGTGCATACTTTTTTGGCATCCACAGTATTTGTACCCTTCAACTCAGAAATCCCTCTCTTCAAAGGTGCCTCTAAGAAAAGAAACAGAAGCAGAAGGGGAAAATGTCACATGCATGAAGATATTTGCTCCAGTAGAGACCATCGATAAGGTTGTGAGTTCACAGAGTACGGTCCATGAGTCTGATAGAAAACAAAGTCATTTGACACTTAGTAGGAACACATGGAAATGAGATTCATTCTAAAAGACCAAAAAGTATTATAATTAAAATGAGTTCAAATGATGAAACTATCTAGGCAGAGTAACCTGTCATGGAATATGCTCACACACTAAATATCTGTGCCATGGTGAGGCCATTGTGGACACTGCTTTCTCGTCTAAAACCAAAGCTAGGGAGGGGTTGGAACAAGAGGCTAGTTCACAGATACAAAGCTGGGTGAGATGGGAGGTTAGAGCCAGGGTCCCCCAGGCCGTGGGGGAATACAGTTAACAAGAATTTAGTGTATATTTTTAAAAGGAAGAGGAGAGGACTTTGAATGCTCACAACACAGAGAAAAAGTCGATGTTCTAGGTGACAGCTATGCAGATTCCCTGACTCAATCACCGCACATCATACAGTGTCAAAAGACCGGTCTGTACCCAGCATGTACAACTACTAGCATCAGCTGAAAACAAATGCAAAAAATAACTCAGATGTTCACTGTTTCTGCAAGTAAAAAAAAAAAAGTTATAGGGCCAAGGATCAAAGTCATCTAAGATGTTCCCTGTCACAGTAAAACACTGAGACTTAAGATACTACAAAATCTAAAAGAAAATGTCAAACTAAAGTGGAGTGTGAGATTATGAGCAGAGGCAACTCGGAGCCCTGAAAGGGCAAGCACTCTGGAACCGACAAGTTTGGGGACCTCCAGTCACAAGTCGCTTAAATGCCAAGAGCCTGGGTTACCCCATCTGCAAAACCAGGGAAACAAAGCCAACCTTTCAAACCTGTCACAAGCTTTTAAAGGTATATTCATGTTATGATATATACATGAAAAACGTATGTTTACATTGTTAGCATCTAATAAATTTTAGGCTACTTTTTTTGCAATATGTTTAAATAAAGGAAAGCATGTGTATTCATGGGAAAAGGGATAAAACAGAAAGTAAAGCGCTTCAGAAGGGATTCTAATTATATCAAATTAATGCCAATGAATATATTAATGTACTCAGAAATCAAAATTTTCACTAAGAGAAAGAGATACAGAATTTTAAAAGCAAACACAAATCTTGTAATGTTAAACTTAAAAGGAAATGTCATTATGAAAGGTTGCTATCCCAGGTCGGGCACAGTGGCTCACATTTTGGGAGGCTGAGGCAGGAGGATCACTTGAGCCCAGAATTTCAAAACAAGCCTGGGCAACATAGCAAGACCTCATTTCTAAAAAAATTTTTTTTTAATTTAGCTGGGTGTGGTGACGTGAGCTTGTAGTGCTGGCTCCTTGGGAAGCTGAGTGGAAGGATCGCTTGTGCCTAGGAGGTCGAGGCTGAGGGGAGCTGTGATTGTGCCACTGCACTCCAACCTGGGTGACAGAGTGAGACCCAACTCAAATAAATAAACAAACAACAAAACAAATAAATAAAGTGTATACATCCCAGCTTTTTTCCCTGAAAAACCAGAGAAGCAGTACTACCCTGGTAGGGACAAGCCAGGTCCCAGAGTCATGTTTCTCAGTCTCATTCCCAGAGGAAAGGAATGAAAACCTCTTGGATAAAAAAGGGATTTTTACGTCAGAGGCAAGAGCGGCCATGGTGAGCCAGAACACAGCTAATCAGCCAAAAGCAAGAACACTCAAAGACTGAGGGTAAGGCAACCCCTTTGGATCCCCTCTCACTCTGGGAGCTTTTTTGTTCTCTCAATAAATTCTACTTTCCAAAAAACAAAGGCTGAGGGTGGGAAGCCGGCTTGAAGGACTCCCCTGACCAATCCAGGCATCTCAGGGAATAACAGTCATAGGTTAAAAATAAACATATCCAGGAATGTATGTTGGTACAAATGATCAGAAGAGAAAGGAAAGGTGGCAGAAGCAAGAAAGCCTGTCTTCACCAAAGAAAGCTGGACAATAAGCACAGAAGAAATGACAGAATTAGAGAAATCATAACTGCTCAAACAACCACATAATAACAGCCTCAGGGCAGGATCATGAAGGTGCTGAGACTGCTGGGCAAAGGCTGCAAGGTAAGACACATCCACGTGACCCCAAGCATCATGCCCAGATCATCCACCCATCAAACGGCCCCAAACGGCACCTTACGGTGGAAATACCTGCCAGACACCACCTTCCTCAAGAGGCCCTCCTAGCTTCTCGACACTGGGACCACGGGCCTCCTGGGGAGACACAACGGGTAGACAGGACACCTCCCAACCTGCACCCAAACCCACCCCAAGCCAAGCATGAGACAACAGTCATATGCGGCCAGAGCGTGGGACAGTTCACAAGATAATCAGTCTTGATTTTAAAAGTCACTGCTATGTATAACAATAAATGCAAAGGTCTGTTCTAGACTAAAGGAGACATCATAGCTCAAGAACCTTGACTAGATCTGGAATCAAAAAGAAAAAAGAAACAAGAAAAAGCAATGAGTCATCTGAGGTCGGGGAGGCAGTGGAAGAGCAAGTATCCCTGAATGTGGCCTAGATACTAAATAGTATTTAACATGGCTATTAATTCTCCTAAGCACGAAATGGCATGAGGGTATGTAAGAGGATGTCTTAGTCTTAGATGACAAATCTGAAATATTGCGATGGCTACAACTGACACTTAAATGACCCAACCGAAAAAGGAAAGCACACGCGTACATGCATTTGTGTGTAGAAAATGTGTACAGAAAAGAGAACACAGGCTGGGTGTGGTGGCTCACACCTGCAATCCCAACACTTTGGGAGGCCAAGGAGGGAGGATGCTTAAGGCCAGGAGTCTGAGACCAGTGTGGACAACCTCTAGAGGGACCTTGTTTCTACCTAAAAACTTAGCCAGCATGGTGGGATGTGCCTGTAATCCCAGTTACTTGGTACTGAGGTGGGAGGATCACTTGAGCCCAGGAAGTCGATGCTACAGTGAACTGTAATCATGCCACTGCACCCTAGTCTGGGCCACAGAGTGAGACACCCCAAGTTTAAGATAAAAATAGTGAGAGTGAGCATGAAGAAGGTAAAAATGCTAACAATTAGTCAATCTAGGTGAAGAGCAAAGATTGTGTGTTTATTGTATTCTTCTTTCAACTTTTCTGTAGTTCAGAACTTTTTCCTGTAATTCAAAATTTTTTTAAGTTAGAAAAAAATGGATCCCAAACAACGAGTCAGATAATTCCTGTTGCATGTGAACCTGGCCACACTTCCTCTGAACCAAGAGCCACTGTAGACAGTGAGGAAATAATCAAATCTTCCACAGAAGAATGTTGGCTAGAATAAACCTATGTTCTGCACAGCTTCAGGTTGAGTGAAACATACCCACCCTCTTCCCACATGAACCAGAAGACCCCTGTAAGGACCCAAGGCTGGCTAATGCATGACATTTTCCTAGCAAGCAAGAAACCCCACGAGGGTAAGAGTAAAAACAAAGGCAGTAGGGTTTAAAAATGAAATTAATTTAAAGAAAACCTGCTGTCACAGGAGCCAAGAGAGAAGGCTATCCACGAACAATCCTCCAAGATACTGCACCAGGTGTCAGCCGGTTCCTAGCCTGCTCCCACCCAGTTGCCAAGGCCTATATTTTAAAGGACAGAATTTCCATGAGAAATGGAAGGACAGGGCCGCACGTGAGAAGAGGGAAGCTGGTGACACCAAGAGCATCGTAAAGCACAAAGTGCTGTCACACTGGTCATATCTCAAACTGCTACAGGTGAAAAGGTCAGACATATGAAGACTACAGCAAGGAGAAAGCTCAGAGCTAGAGAGCAACAAGGGAAAGCAATCTATCAAAAGGGGCAGTGATGGGGTAGTAAGCTAGGTCTCCTGGAGTTGACAAGAGAAGACAGAAGGCTAGGTCTCCCAGAGTTGACAGAGAGATGGTTCGTCCTCACAGATTATACTTTGGCAATCAGTAGACATTGGCTTTTGTATTAGCAAAAGTTTGTAGGCAAAAATTCTGTGCTATAGGTGAAATCCAATGGCAATCTTATCTCGCTTAAAAGACCCATTTCTAAAATGCAAGCAGAGGCTGGTCGGAAGGTTGTTATTTCAACCAACAACTGTTCACTGTATGTTAAAGATTGAGCTCCTTGTTTCTACTCTTTCCTCCCTTCTCACCTCTGCTCTTGACTAGTCTTTAAAAGGGATAATAACAAAATAAATAAATAAGTGGCAAGCAGAGAAGCCTGTACGGAAAAAGTAATCCCAAGGCATGTTGCCAAGTGTCCTGTTTCTGTATGGTGACGGCCTCTCTCCCAGTTTTGCAGAATACCTTTCTTGGAGATTTGAGATCTTCATCTTCACCTGTCCAAGCAATCTCCACCATTTAATTATATGCGAAATTTTTAAGGTGATTTGAGCAGAAAGATTATAAAGAAGTTTCATTCATAGAGCGGTGTTACATTGACTCACGATTCTAAAGCTATATAGGTGAAAATCCAATGGCAAAATCTTGAAAAATCTCAGGGGGTCCAAACCCTACCCTGCATCTTCACACCACCTTCTTGATGACAATAATAGTTCTCTGAAACTATGAAGCATCTTTACACGTGCCAAAATACACACACAACTGTAAAATGATCACTGGAGGAAATGCTAAGGGTCTGGTTTATAAACTAATGTATTCACAGTAACAGGCAAAGAAAATGCTCTTGAGATGGGAAGGTACATATTAAATGACTTCCTGATCACCAAAGCAAAAGAAAACTGTTTCAAACAAACAACAAAAATTAAATATGATAATGAAAAATAAGCATACCCATCTTTGGTCTGATCCACCACGCCACCTAAAAGTTCCACAGTCTTTGGGTTGGGCTGGCTTTCTCCAAAAATGCTCAAATACCGAGTAACAAAGTCATTGGGAGACATGAAAAATTCGCCATTTTTTTCAATGCTTGCATACTGTTAAGAAAAAAGAGAAATGTTATTTAATATAGTTGATCTCAAAAGGGTATAATCCTGGGTGCAATATAAGAAAAAACTGAAAATATTCAAAGGATAAAACAGCAGATGTGCTCATATGCTCTTCAGGATGGCTGTTATCTCCCCCCACATCCAAGAAAACTGAAACACTTTACATCTGCCGCCTTTTGTATTTATACTGTCTGCGTTTGGGCAGGGTCACCAGGTGGGCTCATCCTGTCACTGTGCACTCAGTCGTTCCTCTGCTTCTGCCCAGCCCCAATGCAGACACTCAGTGCCAACCAGGAAACCCTAGCTCACAGACAAGGGAAGGACCAACGATGCCATGTTCTTCAGCAAAGATGCACAACTTTGTTAAAAGTGGAATAATTATGAAGCCACGCAGGAAAACAACCTAACTTACTTGACTCATTCCTGCACTCAGGGCATCCATGGTACAAGAAAGGACGGCAAACACCAGGCTGGAAAACGAGGGGTGAGTGGTGGGCCTTCTTGGAAATTATGGAGGTAGGTGTCCAAGGCTGCTCCCACCAGCAACCTCCCCATTCCAGAATGCTGTCCTACAGATAAGGATGGGCAGGGGTGACACATCTTTGCAGATCCCCCCAGGTCTTGCCTGTGAGGTGACAGGTTCCAGCTCAGATAAGGAAAACCCCACAATTCCTGATAACTGACATGAAGACCCAGTGGCATCCAGGGTCCTTCTGGAGCAGGTGAGGGCCTCCTGACCCTGGGGATGACATGGGGATCTGGGGGCTGAGGAGGTAGGACAGCACAGCCACAAGACAGGACCCATGTTCTACAGTATCATTTTTAATTGCTGTTTTTTAGTAAAGCACAAGAGGAAGGCTAACAGATGGCCCGGTCATGCTACTATTTTTCAGTTGGCATTTAATCCAGCTTTCCGGACATGCAGAAGAAAGAGCTGCATTTTGATTCTCCCAACTGAGGTAACACAGTCTGAAAGATAAACATCACTGCTAAGGATAGCAATCCCATGACTTAGAGTTGACCTATGTTTGCTTATTATGGTGAATAATTAATTTATTTGAAAATACAAATTCAACTTTTCTTCTACTAGTAGACATTTAGATTATTTCCTGTTTGGGGTATTTTTAAATAAAGCTAATGTAGCAAGTCTTGTAATAATGTTTGTCTAAATTCCTGGCAATTTTCGAAGATGAGACTTCCCAGAAGAGGGACTGCTGATCAAAGGAGAGGCCCCTTTGGGCTCTGGGTACCTATTATCACACCACTCGCCAGGCAAGATATTGCCAATTGACACTTCTACCAACAGGGCACAAACGTGCCCTACCCCATCTATCATGTTTGATGCATATTTCTCCAGTTTGATATTTTCACATAATTGAGTCTATAGATTTTTTTCTCCTTTGCAATTTCTTCCATCCCCTTTCTGAGATCAGACACTAGTCTTTCTCCACTTCAAGATAAATATACCCACAGTTCCTCTTCACTCTTTTAAGATGGGGTTTCTCTTTCACCTTAAGTTTTAGTACATCCGTCCTTTATGTTAGTGTCTGATCCGAGGCAAGGGTCATCCAATTAGTTTTTTTCCCTTAATCTCTTGGTGGTCCCAGAATCACAAATCAAGTCATCTCCCTTCCCCTATCTTTAGGATGCCGTGTCTATCACGTACTAAATTACTGTATGGCCACCAGAGAAAGGCCTGGCAAGACGCTCCAGCTCCAGCTCCAGGGTTGAATGGCAGAGGCTTCCAGGGCCGACCCGTGCTCTGGGTGCCCTGGCTCTGCAAGGGTAGCAAGACACACTGACAGCTCCCATCACCCTGCAGCCGGAAACATTCCCAGACTATCCTTATCAGTTGACCTGCCTCCTCCTGCAAGACTGCATACATCTTAATTGATACGAGAGAGAGCTGTCAGGATAGGATTATTTTGATTCTTGTCTTTTTCACTGCTGTGTCCTCAGATTCCCAGACCAGTGCCTGACAGGTAGGGAAACATGCTTAGTACATATTTTTCAAATGAATAAAAGACTCAAAACGTGTTATCTTACTTGACTCTTGGAAATTTTCTTAGCCATAATCACTCCGATTTTTCCCAAATATCCTTTAGAATCATTGCCAAGTTGATGCCCCCTTAAAAAATTCCATTGAAAATACAAAATAAAACGGTAATGTAGGCCAGACATGTGGTTCATGCCTGTAATCCCAGCATTTTGGGAGGCTGAGGTGGGAGGATCTTGAGCCCAGGGGTTCAGGACCAGCCTGGGCAACATAGAGAAACTCCACCTCTACAAAAAATAAAAATAAATGTTTAAAAATTAGCTGGGCAAGATGGTGTGTGCCTGTATTCCCAGCTACTCAGGAAGCTGAGGTAGGAGAACCATTTGAGCCTAGGAGTTTGAAGCTATAGTGAGCTATGATCATACCACTACACTCCAGTCAGGGCAACATGGCGAGATCCTAACTCTACAATCAATCAATCAATCAATCAAACTACAGTACAGTACCATGACTCACACACAAGATAACCATAAAGAATAACAAGTATTGGAAAAAACGTGGGGAAAATGCTACTCTCACATACTGGTGACAAGAGAATAAAGCAGTAAGCCATTTTAGAAAAATGCTGGTCCATGCATGCTATAGCTAAAGCACACACACAACCAAAAACACAGCAATTTCAATCATATGTATATCTCCAAAAAACATGGTACGATGCCCATAGCAGCATTATTCATAACAAAAAATCTAAAGGTAGCACAAACATCAACCAATAGTAGAAAATAGAAGACATAAACAGTGTGTAGTATATCCACACGATGGGAAACAACACACCAATGAGAATAAACCAGTCCCAACTGCACACAACAGCACAGATGAATCTTACACGTACTGAACATGAGAATACAGACAGAATAATTCCACTTACAGAAACGGGCAAAACTAACATATAGCTAGTTTTCACTTATAATAGCCTGAAGTTAGACAACTGGCTCCCCTAGGTGGGGTGAGGACAGATCAGAAGGGGCATCAGAGGCTTCTGGGGTGTTGGCCACTGGGGTGCTCACCTTGGAGACATCTGGGACTGAGCATGTGTGACACATGCACTTGGTGGACTCCTCAATCGTCTATGTGGAACGCCAGTGAGATTTCTTATCAGCCTCAATTTTTAGAGGAAATAAATCATTTCTTAATATAAGAACACATTAATCTGGGCAGAAAAACAGTTTTCTTCAGTTTGCTAAACCAGCTCCTGACCAAGGCTGGGTGGTTTGCTCTGTGATTTATGTAAGCCTTCTAAAGGCTGTTCTTCAGACTGAGGACAGAGGCTGACCACATTAAGAATATGCACTAGGAGCCAGGCGTGGTGGCTCTTTGCCTCTCCAGCACTTTGGGAGGCTGTGGCAGGAAGATTGCTTGAGTCCAGGAGTTCAAGATCAGCCTAAGCAACATAGCGAGACCCCATCCCTACAAAAAAATTTTTTTTTTAATTAGCCAGGTGTGTACCTATAATCCCAGCTACACAGGAGGCTGAGGTGGGAAGATCGCCTGAGCCCAGGAGGTCAAGGCTGCAGTGAGCCATGATCATTCTACTACACTCCAGCCTGGGTGAAAGAGTGAGACCCTGACTTAAAAAAAAAAAAGAAAGAAAGAAACGATAAGAAAAACAATATGTACTAGGGTATTGACAAGGCAACCCTGCTGTCCCTGCAGCAGTGAAGAGAGGGTTCCCCTGAATCCCTGTTTGAGAATATTTTTACAAGTGACCTGAAGCCTCTTCGCCTTATAATCTTTGGGAATTGTAATATGATTAAGCATGTGTATACCATCTGGGAAAGCTTTTAGGATTCCTTGCACAGCTCCATGTAACACTAATTGTCAGCACTAAGCAACACCACCACACCTCACAAAGATTATGGCAAAGGAGGCAGAAAGATCCCATGGCTCCAGGGTGGTCTTGTGAGGGCTGGGATTGCTTGGCCACTCCCCGTCAGTCATTTAACTGAGGTCTGGAAGCTGTGACCAAGCCAGGTTGGAACGAGAATCATCCAGCAGCCATCTTGCTATAAGTCACACGTGTCCTGGGGCTGAGGGATACAGCCCTAGACAGAGAACTCTGTGTGCACCTGGTCACTGCCTTTGACCACCTGTCACCTCAACTCCCTGTCATAGGGAAACAATGCAGTATAAACAAACATTTGAATGTGAAGTGGGTATTTTATGTTATTAGGAAGTTACTTTTAATTTTATTAGGTACACAATGGTATGATGGCCATGTTGGAAGTTGTTTTCATTATTTGAAGCTGTATGCTAAAGTATTCAGGGTGAATTATGATGATACCTAACTTACAATGAAATAAATCAGTAAAAAAAGTACATAAACTAATATGACAAATATTTAATTTGGGTGGTGGTTACATGAACATTTACTGTACTAGTCTATTTTCTGCATGTTTGAAAATTGTCACAATAAAAAGTTAAAAATATAATTAAGAATCCCAAATGGTCAATAAAATAGATTGCTATTTATCAAAAAAATGAAAATTAAAAATACGATTTTTCAAGTAACCAGTCAGCAGAAAGCTTTTTGTGGCTACTGCTATCCTTTTGAATAGTAACCTGAGTTGGTGATACCATGTAGGAAATGTGCACTTCTGTAAGCCCACCCACCCCAAATATGGAATGATACAAAAGGCAGTTTGCCAAGAGGAATCAAAAGCCTTACTAGGTGATAAATACACTCTTCAAATCAGGGTTGCCACTTCTAGAAATTTCTCCTAAGAAAATAATGCTGGCTGTATGCCAAAATGTAGGCACAACACTACCCTTACAGTGTCATCATGACAGCAGGGCAGAAGAGACAAAGCCGCATAATAGTGGGTAGATACCTCATGGTGAAGCAGCCACACACAGGAATATTATGCAGTGTTAACAATATTGCAGACACATGTTCAATTGCAGGAAGAGGTATTTGTAACATATTAGAGGAGAG